GCAGACCAAAATAAACTAACTATAAGTGTTTGGCATTTTTGGAAAGATGGCAATGGGCGTTATATCTAGGTCACAGCTCACATGACCATTGTCATGCCGGATTAATTTTGTTCAGAAGGTTGTAAGGATTTCTCTGATGTGTTCTATTAAATTTGCATAAAACTGAGTAACTCAGAGACATTGTGAGCTACCTGTGGCAAAAGGAGATTAGGACAGACGCAGGCAGATGGAGTTTATTCTTTTTTCTTCTTCTAAGCCATGTGTTGGTCAGTAAATATCAGCATTTCAAAATGAGACTGGTGTCAAATAAGCTATGAATCATGAAATGTTTTCATAAAGAAAACTAGGGGATTAAAAAATTCCCAATGTTAAAATCATGCATTTAAGCTTGCTTTTAAAAGCATTTTAACTATTAGGGAATCTGACATTTTTTAGTAAAATACAAAATAGAATTTTATATGGGTTTTTATTTTGTTTACATTTAATGACACATAAATTACAGTGATAAAATGCTTTTTTAAACAAAAAATTAATTTTAAAGCAACTGATGGTCAATTTTATTAGTTATTCTAGTGTGAAGGAATAGATACAGATGGAGAAATGTTGCAAGGTTCTAATTGATCATATTCCACACAGGTATTCAAATGTATTTAACTTATTTTTGTATTCTGTCACTTCACTGCATTTATTTTTGCCTAATTGGCCGACACAATAGAACATAAATTGAAAGGGAACATATGGGGGAAGTGGTATCACAGGTCAAAGGAACAAGGAATACAGGTTAGGAAAAGTTGTCTGGAAGTTTAAAGTACAATTAGACTATTATATAAATTCTCAGGCTTTGGAGATCTATCTAGCAATGTTTAAACTATCACTCAAACCTGGACAGAATAAAGAGAGAGGCCTCAACATGACACTGTGGAGGATCTGCAGAGATCCATAGCTCTAATGCCCACAGAATGAGTTGTACAGTCTTCATAATTATCAAAAAAAAAAAAAAAAACACTTCTGCTCAAATTTTGGGGTCAAATTTAAGAAAACTGGTTAACTGCTGCAAAAACTTTAGATTTAGGGAGGATGTACATCTACGGTGCAACCATACACAGCTTTAAAACCTCTTAACTTCCACCTCGTTTTCCGTAATCCTCGCCTATTTTGCATACCCAAATGGAAAAGCAAATAACTTAGGAACTGTAAGCCCACATTACATGTGCAATACATTATTTGAAAGCTAACACCCTCTAGTTTCTGAATATATAAATAAAATTGGGTGAGTAAAACACAGCCCAAGCTGCATCAGTTCAAACATGACTCAAAGTTGTTTTTATTCTAGGAAATTATCTTTTTTGAACAGCAGTAATAAAGACTTTCTTGAGAAAAAAGCTGGTTTTATTTTATTACATTTGTTCTACATCATGTCAACCACAAATGCGGAAAAAATGTCAGACCTCTAGCTATAACAGTTCCAGAGCTGTGGAGTTTGGAACTTTTGGTGTCAGCTTGGAGCTGCGCACAATGGCTCCACCCACTGGTGTCTGTGTTTTACCAGTGGAATTTTATCCATTCTGAATTATTACCCGGTAGGCTTAAAGAGGTTAATGGCTTTAAAAAAGACTTTAATAAGCCTATCAGAAGACTGTTTAGATGTGAATTCAATCAGGAATAGGTGACATGAGTTAAAAGCTGATGGTCTTGCATTCAAGCCAAGTGTTTGCACTAGATTGTATTTTGAAATGGTGGCAGAAAAAAAAAAAAAACGTGTCTCACATCTCAGTTTTCAGATTTAAAAACTAATCAACTCCACAGTAATCTCTCCAATCATTAACAGGTTGCTGTAAAATAACATGTCCAAAAATTACAAGTAGCATAAACACACTTTCCAAAACAATATTAAGCTTCTCCTTTTCCCAAAAACTAAAGAACAATACTAAACTTTAATCAAGCAAATCTTGAGTTCTAATGTTGTTGTTGAGATTTGACTGAAGCAATTAATCAGAGAGCTTCAACTGAGAAAGCTGCACATATGAAATCTGTGCTTTTGCAGAAGATTTTTGCTGCTTTGTCTAAAAGTGGGGAATACTAACTCATTAGAAGCAGAAAGAATTAGAATCTGCCGTATTACACTTAACAAAGGAATTAAGGAGGTGTTATGAGCAACGATTAAAAAAAAATAACAACAGGTAAAATAATAAGATACAGAGTAAATTTTCCAGTGTTAAAGTAACACTTTAAGAGTGCATTTGGTCCCACTGGGAATTAGTTTTAAATTAGAACTCTACGTAGTGTATATTTTACTCCAGAGTAAAAGAGTCAGTGTACGTTGACACTGCATATTTAACAATGTGGAATTTACTGTGTACTTAAAAAAGAATAAAAAAAAGTGTGTGCATACATGTGTTGCAAAAATGTTAAAATAACTGGCATGTGAAGTCAGCTTTTCCTGACAGATCGAAGCTACATACATAGGTCTTGTGTTAAATAGGGTGGGCATTGGGTATCTGTATATATACTCTCAGCGGTAAAAGGAGGAAGTCAAAGGAGATGACAGAAGAAGATGTACTTAAACACAACACACACATCCATGACCTTGCATTTAACGGCCTGTTATGCTTGCAGGGCAATTACAATGAAAATCATTGTGGTCACATCTCATTTTCTAAACTGTTATTATCAGAAACTTAATATAACAATTATTGTATGACTTTTTCCAAGCCATTATCATTATAATGATTATAGGATGCCTTCAGCTCAGCAATCGAACAGAGGTTGAGCTCACATTGTTTAAAGCCCTGTGCTGATTTGCATAATGAAAAAAAAAAAAAAGAAACAAATCCTTCTGGTTGCATGCTGTTTAACAATTCAGCTTAATTAGGAGCGAGAATCGGAATGATATTATGGGAGGGATAATAGCGAGAGAGAGAGAGAGAACCAAAAACTCAAGATCGATATCTTCTGTATAATTACCTACAGCTTCCTGGTTGCTTGGGAACCAAACAGAGATGAGAGAGAAGGGGGAGGAGATGAAGATGATGAGACGGACAGAGACACTAACACAAAGCCTAAGACTAATTCCAGGGTAGAGATGATTTCACTCTCTTCCCTGGTCTGTTTAAGTAGAGCCTAAGATGACAGATGAGAAGTTGAAAAAGCAGGGAGAGAAATGAAAGTTCAATGCAGAGTTACAAGGAGGTAGAAGGAGACAGAAGAAGAGACTGATATATGTCTTACTTGTGGGGGAGATGTCTCATTAATATTTACAGAGATACTGGTTGCCTCTTTGTCTTTCATCAAGTCACGTTTTCGTCCCCCTCTATATATATATATATATATATATATATATATATATATATATATATATATATATATATATATATATATATATATACATATATATATATATATGTATATATACTTTTAAAAACCTTTAATTCCCTAGGCTTAGAGCCTACGGCTGCACTGCACTTCCCTTGTCTTGGCTGCCCTGCAATTTCTTGATCCTCCCTCTTTTCCATTTGTCTTCCACCTTGGCTTGATCAGTAAGCCCACTCATATTGACTGTACTGGCAATAGCCCAGGGCGGCATTTAAAAGGGGGCATCCAAACCTCAAATAAAAAATTAAAAAAAATTTTATCTATCAGTGGCACCAAGTTTTCACTTGCTCTATCATGTAGATATTTGCAGTCGATGAGGAAGTGCCGCCTTCTGCTGGCTGCTGCCCTGCATTTTATACAGTCTTGGAATTTGAATTATTTTCTCCATCATGACTGGTTAAAAGGTAGCAGAATAAGTAGCTCACCATTTCATGCAAAAGCTGCCATTTTTTTTCATGAACAGGTTGTAAGACAGACTCTAAAGATAAACAAAACCAACTTTGATTTACATGTTTCAAAATAAAAATTTTTATGGTTTTATAGAGCCAAGTTGGATCATTCGATCACAGCAGTAAAAGGTATGTTTAATGAAAAAAGTAGTACACAGATAAAAAAAAAAATACATGAGAAAGAAATCATATAGTAAGAGTTGGATCCCTTTTCTTCAAATAGAACAAACGTTTTGGTCAGTGAGAATGACATTTTTAGTTGTACCAAATACCAGTGAGTTTTGAGTAGTTGCTGAGGAACTGTATGGGAAAGTCAATTTAGACTAAATTAGGGACTTACCAGAGTGGAAATAAAGTTTCTGAATGACCAAACTAAAGTCCAGAACTGAATATTATCTGAAATATTAGCCATGCTCTGAATAGAACTACGGACAAGAGATGTTCCCACGGTCTAAGAGATATGGGTGACCTTTTCAGGCTGGGTTGGCAAATCAAAGATTGCCATGCCAAGATGTGGAATTCCTGATCCTTCCACAGCCTTCCCTGTGTTAAAACTTGAAGTTGGTTCCATACAAGAGGAGCCTGATCACTAAAAGATCTGCCTCCCATTCTACTTTTAGAAATGTCTCTTTGGCAAACAAAGTATAAGGTCTTTACCTCAACCTGGGATCCACTGATGCAAGACATACTACAAAACTATAACATCAAAGTGGTTGATAATCCTGCACCTTAGTCTGCTCTCTTTCCTTAAGAAATTGTTTTTTTTTGCCCAGAAATATAAATCAGAGAAAGTAGAGCAGATGCCGGTATTAGCTTACTCCTTTTGATTAATCATTGTTTATTTGAGGCTCAAATTTGTCTTTTATCAAAAATATTCATATAATTTTAAATAGTATAACAAATATGTTTTGCATTTAAGATTTTATAATATCATAAGCATTCATATTTTGTCAATCTGAAAGGATTTTCTGGTAATTGTGGACATCTGAATAAACAAAGAGCGTTTAAATATTTCAACATTAAGCTGCACAAAACCAAAAGCAATAGGTGCATTAAGTTCATCAACCAGCTCTACATAACAACATGCTTAATGTGACCTCATTGATATAAAGCACTGCTTATAGGTGTGCTGTTCCTTTAAAAGGAGGGAAGACAGGGGAGGAGCAGGGAAAGAGGAGAGAAAGAGAGAAGGGAGATGTAGTAAAAAAGGCAGGGTTGTTTTCATGTTCCCTCTCTGTAGAGAACTGTGTGTGTGGAAAAGAAAGAGGGATTTTTTAAAGAAATAAAGAGAGAACGAAAAGAGAGAAATTGCTTTCAGTTGCTACAAGTTAAACTGGATTTTTCTAAAAGCATTCCAGCAGTTTGAGGAGTTTCTCAGATCAGCATCTTGCAAGAAGATTTTGGACAAGGACTCTGCTCAGAGATTACACTGACCTTTGATGAAGACGTGGGATCACTCTTTTTGAGATCTAATTCAGTGGCTTTGACACTGAATGTTTCATTTTCATGCAAAATCCTTGATTCCTTTCACACTTTTCTCACCAAAATATTTTTTAAGTTACTTTTTAGATTAATTTCAGCATCTCCTCAAGAGGATATATGAATTTCAGAGACATTTGTTTTGCTCCCTACAATCTTTAAGGTAAAATTACATTGTCTGCACAATTTGGAGAAAGTGTGGGGAGAAAACAAAACAACAGATATTTATGATTTACTTTTTTATTTTGAAGAGATCATTTTGACTGACTATTTACACTTTGATTTATTTATCATTGAAAACACAGCTTTTGACGTTGGCTGTTAAATTTGTGGTTGATAAGATTTAAGTTAAGCTTCTTGTCAATCAATATTTTTTAGACCATAGCTGAATTTTCTAACAGATTTACCAAAGTGCTGTTATAAAGTAAGGGTAGGTTTTAATTTTTTTTGCATTCAGCTCAAAGAGGGAGAAAGAAGAAAAAAAATACACACAGATGGCTCAGAAAGACGGAGGAACAGAGCAGGGGTGCATTAAAACAGAGGACAGTTTAGGGGCCAAAACAATGGTTGGGGCCCCCTCAGCTGGTGGAGGAGTGGTGGTGGAAGTTCGGGAGAAGAAGGGACCTCTGCGGGCTGCAATACCCACAATGCCTTTCCCCGTGGCTGTCATTTGTCTTTTCCTAAACACCTTCATACCTGGGCTTGGTGAGTTCACTGTCCTACTTCTATTATTATTGCTCTAACAAGAATGGAAAAACAGAGCTAAAGTTCATAGTGATAAAAATCTGCTACTGAAATGACTAAATCATAAACAGCATGATTAGGTCTGCTCACTGTATGGTTTGACCAACAAACCAGTGTCTTTGTCAGTGTGCAGGAATGCAACTTACCATTACCTTTTGGAACACTGACAGAAAAACGAAGAAAACATTGCAGTGTTTTAACAATAAAGCCACATCTTGATTAACCAAAAAGTTAATATCGTGCAAAAAAATTAATTCATGAAACTTTACCATCTCCTCTATCTTTTCCCCATTACTGCTCTCTGGGTCGATCCAATCCTGCAAATCAATTAAGGACAATTGAGCCAAAGCACGAAGTGTGTCAGCTGTCTCCATGATAAGTGCTATCTAAACAGTGCGAGCAGTAAAGAGGGAGGTAGGAACATAAAGCTGGATGGTTCCTATTGATAGTTCATGTACTGTAGCGTAGGTACCCCTCTGCTGCTGACAGGATGTATGCACATGGCCCACCTCACAGAATAAAACTTTAAGGGTGAGTAGCTGCCTTTCGGGGAGTGGCAAACCAACAGCTAGGGCATAGAGCTTTGAATCCTAAAGTTGTTAGTTCAAAACCTGCTCCCCCCAGACTGCCACTCTGGGTCTCTGAGCCTTAACCCCCGATTGCTCCCCTGATGCCCTACAATAGCAGCCTACTGCTCCCCAAGGGGATGGGTTAAATGCAGAGGTAAATTTCTCCGATGTGAGATAAATAAAGTTAAATTATTATTTAAATGCTTTCTGTTTGACACATGCAAATGTATGCAGCTTCTTATGTTTTGGATTTTAAATTGGAGAGCTAAGCAATTAAATACTTGTGTTACTTGGGCTTTTTGTGATTCTTTTGTGGAAAATTATATTCCACGATTTGATTAGAATCCCCATATGTGTATTTCTGTTCCATCATCACGTCTATAAGTCTATGGGCTGTCTTGATTCTGCACAGCAGTCCAGAGTTTCTTTTTCAACACACAATAATGTTTTTACTGTTATCCAGTGAATCTTGAAGGAAGACGAGCTAGGAACAGGAACAAAGACCTACGATTTACAGTATTCGAACACTGGGGAACTGATGCTATACTGCCCATTGCACCCTGTGTGATTAAACTAATAAACATTCTGTTTTTGCTCAAAGAACCAAGGGTAGAAGCATACAATACATTGTGTTAAACATAAACTGTTTAGTCGCAGCCATAAAGTATCTAGTTTTGCCCATAAACCATCAATTTCAAGTTTCATCCAGAGCCCAAGTGGTTACATTGATTAATAGCTTAGTTAAAGCTAAAGATTAAGTGGTTACACTGATCAACCTTGAGGTTATGTCCACAAAGCTTTTTAATTTACCTACCTGTAGACCAAGTGGTTATGCCCACAGACCATGTGATCATTCCTATAAATCTTTTGATTACAGCCGTAAACCATGTGGTTACGTCCATAGACTTAGTTGTGACAACCCATATGCCAAGTGGTTTCCACCATATAAAGAGCAGGTTACACTCATAGGGAGTGTGGATTCCCCCATAGACCATGTGTTTACAGCCATAGGCTGTAGGGTTGCAGTATGGTCTTGTCAATAGATCATTAAGTAGAGCCTATGGTTATGCCCACAGGCTATGTGGCAATGTAATTACACCAATAGAATGGGGTTTTACCTGCAGATTGGGTAACATTATGGTCATATTTTTTAGTTTAAAGGGTACAATTATTTTCTTATTACTTTTTATTATTTCTTAGTCCTTATGACTTTCTTTCTTTATCCATCCATCCATCCATCCATCCATCCATCCATCCATCCATCCATCCATCCATCCATCCATCCATCCATCCATCCATCCATCCATCCATCCATCAGTTCATTTTCACCATATTTACAAGTCTTTCTCCCTCTAGGAGGACACATACTGTATTAGAAAGGAGACATAGGGATGTTGGTGGAAAACTATGAACTGTAATGCCAATAAAAATCAATAGTGATAACTGGCTTAATATACTGATAACTGGTTTATCATTAGACTCATCTAAATTGTTCAGATTAGTCTTCTTTTAGAGTACCTTAAATTTTAAAGATGCATAAACTAGGATGCTGGCCTTGTTGAAAAATTATCTTTTAATTTTATTAATTAATTTCAATCTAATTAATTAATTACCTCTTAAATTCCTAACCAGCTATTTTAAAACCTTGTCAAAATGTCCATCTCTGTGAAACACCTGTAAGAAAAGGCAAAGAAAAGCAGTGAGAGATATCCTTCACACCTATAGAAATCTGTCAGGAGTATGAAAACACTACCTGACCTTACCAAATGTTAATGGATGGAAATGTCACAATGTGGATGAAAAGAGAAATGTAGTTGGTGTCATTATTACGGCAGTAATATCCTTATTTGGGGGCCATGTGTTCTTATCAAGTCAACAAACCTTGACTGTTTGGTGAAATTAAAGGTATTGTGGAGGATTTTTTAAAGGACCCGCCCTCTCCACTTAAAAAAAAAAATGCGCGTGCAAGAGCATGCACGAGGCCATTCCTCCTTGAGCACTTCCTGTTTAAAATGTGCTGTTCTCATAGCTCATTAAAGCTTACTGTGTCCACATACAGCACGAACTATATAGTGGACTTTATAGCAAACTCAGTTAACTGACCGTTATATAATGCTTTGCAAGGATAGCTCTCCGCAGAAAGCATTCTGGGATATATCTGCCTCTGCTGAGGCCTTTCTTCTCTTCTCATACACGTCGTTGACACTTTTTCTCTTACGACCCTCCGCCATTTTCAAAGAACCGCTGTGAGAAAGGTGAGCTTCAATGACTGGCTGGAACCATAGCTCACCACAGATATACGCCTGAAAGTGCGCATGCGCAGAAAGGATTACTAACTGGGGGAGCACATGGAACGGCCTTATGTAAACATATCACCAGAATGATTGACACATAGGAGCTCCACTTATTTAGATGATCCACCCGGAAGTAAAAGATCGTCCTCTATACCTTTAACCTATTGAGTTTTTTATCCAGAATAGCATTAATGCATACTCCGTCTGTTATTTGGCAGTTGTTAGCCATTCGGATTATTAAACAAACTTTTAGGAATTGTTAACTTGAATTTTTACAATTTTTACGTATCCTTTTAGTATCCCTCTCTTAGAATAGCTTTTTTAGGCATCCTTTTATGTTTACGGAGATCTGCCTAATCTAGAAGGTTAAAAGGAATTTAAAATTTTATAAAGATCTTGGTTTTGTAAAGTATTTTCAATTTATTTGAGTGCACACTACTATCTAATCCTGTTAAGCAGTGCTTGCATAAAGGTTCCCTCCACTCTCCCTTTCTGTCTGCATCATATCTGTCTTTGACAATAGATGTTTCCAAACATCAGAACTTAAAGTGGCCATTTAACAATGACCATATGAATTTCTATGCCAGCAGTTCACTTTGGTTACATACTGGGTTTTCTGATTGAATATCATCACCTGTTGGTTTATATTATTTTTGTGTGTTTATGTGAAGCCAAGAGCGATACTTTATGACAATGTAGCACGTGCAAAACAGAATTGTAAAGTTGATGCTAGCTGAAGCAGGAGATAAAGCAGTGGTAGGATTTAGATTTCTCCACCAAGTTTATAGATTTATGAATACACTGCTTTACTGCTTCTAAAGTAGTGAAAGCAATGCATTTCTTAGACTCTTAGTTATGATTGAAAAGTTGTGGAATGCATAGGATTTTTGCCATTGTTCAAGTTTCCCATTCTGTAATACAAGCAGCCACCAGATGCCACATAATGTATATGTCTGCTGTTTGACCCCAGTGCAAAAATAATTTTCCATCCCAAAAAGGACTAAGTAAACACTAAAAGGATGATTGTGATTTTAAAGTCATGGCACAATATTAGATTTTTTGTAAGTTAGTTGAAAGTACTTGAAATGTTATCAGTTATGGGGCTTATGTTTTCTAGCTGTGCACTACATTTTACAAGCTTCATAGGAGAACTTTTTTCATCAGGATGTTTATGGATTTACATAAACACTTCCTCCGTAGAGCAGGGCTATGAGTGATCTGCACAATTTATATATATACACACATATATACATATATACATATATTCTGCCTATGCAAAATCAAAGGAGATCTTAGATTTAGCTTCCCATCATTTCTAAATTGGCCTCTTTGAAAATCATCTTTTTCATTGTCAATTGCAAAGCAAACATTTCTTAATTGAACAGAAAACATCTGAAATATTAAACATCCTGTGACAGACTGGCGACCTGTTAAAGCTGTATCCCATAGGCTTCCATACATAGGCACCGGTCCCACCACGACCCTGACAGAAAAAGCTGTAGAATATGGATGGATGGATGTTAAAAGAATCTGATTTATTAAATCAAAACAGCAAATATTTCACAGTGTATAAGGTTATCTTCATATTTTTATACTCGAAAAGCAAAACTCCGATAGACTCGACACCTGTCCAGGGTGTACCCAGCCTGTCCCCTGTAGTCAGCTGGAGATAGGCACCAGCACCCCCTGCAACCCCGCTTTGGGATTAGGCGTGTCAGGAAATGGATGGATGGATGGATGGAAGGATGGGTGGATGGAAAAGAAAAAAACACAGAACAACAGAATCTGAAGACAAGTTCCTAATTAAATAAAATGTGTATTTTTTAAATTGCATGAGTACTTATTTGAGGTCAGACTGGTGCAAAAATGGATGTGTCTAATTTACCTGGCATGTGGTGTAGGTTTAACAAAACTTGTTTAAGATGGGCTTTGATGACAGTAAAATATATAAAATAAAATTCAAGTCTTTGATGATTGTCTGTTGTTTGTACATGTAGAAACAGTTTGACTCCAAACAGTCATAATGCCCTAGGTATAAAGCAGCAATAATCCTTTGTACTCTCTGAAGTCCATCTGATTGCTTCACTTTGTGTAGTTT